TATATTTTGTTTGATGGTTGACTTGCAATTTTGTTGAATAGAAATAAGATCACCACTGGAAACTTGCAGGCGGCCGAAGGCCGAGTTATCCTAGTAAGATACGCCGATGATTTCGTTGTTCTTCACAAGGCTCGAAGAGTTGTTCAAGGCGCTCAAGGGTTCCTATCACAATGGCTCCAACCCATGGGCCTGCACTTTGTGCCTGATCAAACTCGCATAGTCACTACGGGAGAAGGATTTCATTTCTTAGCACATGACATTCTCCACCTTGGCAAAGGCTCCTCTCCGGCTGCCACTTGGCAGCCGATTTCTAATGAGCTGCCACGTGGCATCTCTCTCTCTCTCTTTCTCTCTCTCTCTCTCTCTCTCTCTCTCTCTCTTTCTCTTTGTGTCTGGCGACCGCCACCGAATTGCCAGAAGAAGAAGAAGAAGAAGAAGAAGAAGAAGAAGAAGAAGAAGAAGAACAAGAACAAGAACAAGAACAAGAATAAGAACAGGAACAAGAAGGAGAAGAAGAGAAAAACAAAAAAACAAAGAAAAAAAAAAGATTAAAAATAATAATAAAAAGAAGAGAAAGATAAAGAAGAAGATGAAAAAGAAGAAGAAAAAGATGAAGGGGGAAAAAAAACAGCAAGGAAGAAGAAGAAATAAAAAACAGCAAAAAAGAAGAAACGGAAAAAAAGAAATTGCAAAGAAGAAGAAAAAGAAGAAAAAAAAGAAGAAGATTAAAAAAAAAAAGCTACCTGTTTTTCTTTTTAGGAGGACTCTAACTCTATATGAGTCATGAAAAAAAATAAAAATATATTTTTTTTTTGGTGGGAAGATGCATCCTGAAAATTGACGGGGCATGGGTGGAGGAGGGGCAGGTAACAAAGGTGGTTATGCAACTAGTACAAACAGAGATTACTAACCAGTGGCAGACAGTCAGATAGCGAATGAGCTTTGTGCATACCAGGAAGGACATCGCTAAAATCATCACACGCTTCTGCGAAGAATGGTTGGGGGAAAGAAGGGGGGGATGGATGTCGGACGTATCTTGATGAGGGGATAACCCCCATGGAAAGGGAAGGGAGGCAGAGGGAGAAATGCCCAGAGACTACAAGCTCTCCTTTCGGGACTTGACTGCGATAGAGCCTCACATCCCCTTGATACCGGCGATCGACTTCCCGGACCCTTTCCCCCCCCACTCGTTACCACTTGTGGAAGCGCCTTCTAACTGAGCCCGCTTCTCAGCATTCGACGCCTTCAAGAGGAACGTCGGACCCATCTTCCAACACACGATTGCGCGAGGACAGCATGAGGTAGCATGAGGCTCGCAGGGCAAGGGGATGAAAGAAGACTCCACCGGTGCCCCCCGGTGGCTCTCCATCCGAAACGGCCAGGGCATGTTTTTTTTTTTTTTTTTTTTTTTTTTT